CTTATTTTTCAATGATCAATGCCACGAACGTAGAGGCGACGGCGGCAAGTGGCGCAGTTTCGCCTCGAGGAGGCAATTCACTGTTTCTTTTCGATCAATTCGGATGCCTCCTGTGGAAACCAGTTAATTCCTGCAAAGCTGCAGCAAGTTTTTCGTTACACTAACCAGGAGTTAACAGGTCTTATCAAGATGAAGCGTTTGACTCAACAAAAACTAGTGAAAGTGCTAAATGCCCCTCCTAAGCGGAACAGCTTCAAGGTTTCCGATGTATGATCACTGCTGCGGAGTAGAAGTGATACAGGGCAAGTGGCTATCACAACAACGCCATCCAGATCAAATACCGGATTCCTGTACTACCTTCACAACCACAACAAAAGAGAACCCAACTGGAAGCACAGGGCAATTCCCAAATAATGGGCTTGAAGAAAGAATAAATTTTACTCACAGTAGCAAAATGCTTGATGATTTGCTTCTCCTTGATGTTATAGACCCTTTGATCGACACCAGGAATCAGAAGTCGAACCAAAGTCAATATGTCCCCGTCGAAATCATCTGTAAGTAACCAGGAGCCTTATACAGGAAAAGAGAAAATGCTTGATAAGGAAATGGCAAAAGCGGTGACCGACCTCTAGAAATGAACATTTTCACTGCTGACGACTTATCTGTGTACTTCGATACAGAAGCTATGACTTCGCAAAGTTTCGTGAACTAAACCATGTTGAATTACAATAAATACTCTTGTGCTGAAGTAGTCGGGGAGTAATCGGTCACGATATTTGGCCCCTCTATGCTCTGTTCTGCGCCCTTTCAGCGAGACAAAGTCTGTGGAGCAAGAGTCATGATCCGATCGCGCGTCCGAGCAGTCGGACCATACTAAGAACGCGCCTTAGGTTTGGCTAGTGCAGCAAGGATGCAGATGAGTAAAAGAGAGGCGTAGTCTGGCCTCGCCCAACACTCCCCAGCAACCCTAGCGTCAAAACTCTTCGGGTTCACAGACGTACCTTGTGGAATGAGTTGTACTTAGACTCCTCATTAGCCTCTTCATTTGATTTGCTGCTCCATTGCTTTCATTCTTCGATCCCTTCTTCTTTTGTACCGAAGTATCTTTGCCGCTGACTTTCTTTGACGAGCTGGGAGCCTGACACGAAGATAAAGCTGTGAATAAGATGCAATAATGTGTGCAATACACGCCATCCAAGGCAAAAATAACCAGGTACCTGGTCAATGAATCAACTTCTGCTTGTTATAAAGTAAGTTCATGCTGCCGCGCACAGGATTATAGGTCCCGGTTGTCAGGCCGCGTACAGTACCCCGAAAATTGCGCACGACTTTGAAAATGGCGCTTTACGAACGCACACAATCAGGCGTACCGTAACCCTGTTGGCTATACAAGTTCGAGGTAGGTTTAATCGACCTCGGCAGTTACCTGCTCGCGCAGTCAGCTTACAGTACTCCACGCAAAGAACGTTGATGGGCCACGACCTGCAGCCCGTTGTGAGCATTTACGACCAACACAATTAGTCTCACGCGCAATTTTCGGGGGTACTGTATGCACCCTGACAACCTGGTTTTATAATTCAATCTCGTACTCAAACCCACAAAACTACTTAGCCAATCAGCCGGCCGCTGGAGACGGACAAGACAACCGACTCTTCAATGCAGCGTTCAGACTTCGAGATGGCTGCCGTCTGCGAAGCCTGAACGCTGCCTAACCCTTTTTCCATATCACCGCAGCGGTCCCGATTGCTTGGTGCACCTTTATCGAGAAGAACTCAGATGAAAGACAGAAAAAAAGCGATATGAATTGGACTGATATAAAGACTACGTTCGATCCATTTTCCTACATCTTCGTTTAGAAAAACCCTTTTGTCATTTGGCCGCTTTCACAACCCGTAACACCAGGAGCGCCTGGCGGCAGCTGGACAGTCTGACTGACATAAAGTGTGACTTACCTTTCCAATATCCTCCGCTTTCTTTTTCGGGCGTTCCTTTCGCTGCGCCACCTTCTTTTTTAGCGCGCACTTTATTCAAGTCATCGATCAACTTCAATATTGGCTCCTTATCCTCGTCTTTCACATCGTCCCACCCTTAGATATAGGCAAATCTTGTGCGCAAAATGATAAACAGTGGGCGGCAGTTCGGTCCGACGGAAAAAAAAAAGCTGGATGGCGGCGAGAGATTTTGCATTTTGCGTAATTTCCATAAAAACGTGTTGCCGCCGTCCTAATAGATGCTGTTCACGAGCCTACTGAAGCCATGACAGGCTTTTTCATGTTGCCCGTTCGACGAGCTTGTCCAAGCTCTTCAGCACAGAATTCCAAACAGGCCTTATAGACTCCTGTAAGAAACCTGTAAGCAATAGAAACGCGACGCGAAAAAGCGGAATGCTCCCTCCCACCCCCATTCGCCGCACTGCGCCTAAAAAGCCTATCTATACCGTCGATGTCTTCCGGATCCTCAATGACCCCTTGTTATTCAGGCACCGCGCCTTGAAGAAACATTTCAAATAAACAGTGGAGCGGATTGATGGTAGACTTTTCATTCCCGCGTGGAGGTCCATCTTCCCGTTGTAATAAATGCGATTTCTGCGTGTGCATGCTACTTGCCTAGACGGACTTCCTAGAAATTAAAATGTAAACAGGAGCGCTATCAGTACAAGAAAGATAATACATGCGGGAGAAAGTAGTTGGTAATCAAAAAAGTTTCGTTTACCAGTCCGTTTCCAAACACATTTCAGCTGCGCCAAAAAGGGACGAACCCGATGACAGACGTATTGGGAGGGGGTCGCAATGACCCTGCTCGCTCGCTCTGAACCTTTTCCGCGCGGAAGCAAGTGTATATATCCATCTTTAGGCCTATTCTCAGAAAGAGATCCGGGCAACCAAACAGATATGTGCCCTGCCCGTGTATATCCCACTCAGCTTGCACCGGTAAGCTGCCTCGCAGCGTACGCAGTGGATCTGGTGCATGTGGGGCGCGGAAGCTGGGGGGAGGGGAGCCGGTGAGCAGTTAGCGGCGCAGCCTGCCAAGTCCGTATTCTTTCAGTTCTTTACCCACCTGGCCTCGCCTTGATGTGAAAAAACAGGTTGACGGCGTTCACGAACCAGTCACTTCTAATACGCGCCCCGTTACGTTCGCCAGCAAAAGCGCACTTTAACCAAAATTACTCGCAGCCAGAGACACGCCGAAGGCCCAGAATCGACGCGCCAATGTCTTACAACAAGTCGTGCCTATTTCTTGACAGCTCCTTCGCAAAATCGCTTCAGAACAAGTCCGGAGAGCATCCTGTCGCAACAAGAGCCCGATCTCGCTCTCACTCTCTCGCAACTCTTGCCCAAGTATATACTTGACCTGAGCAGCGGGCGAAGCTGCCAGTCCGTTTCAAAACCCATAGCATAATGCAACGAACCAAAATGTTCTGCCTAATGGAGGACGACTGCTAGCAGGGTTTCGTTTTCAAAACTGGACCGGAGACCGACAATCACTCCAAACAATAACGAAACTGTTCAGATCGACTATGTCCGTGCACGCCCATGACGCTTCAATATCAATGCTACTTCGGCCAGCTACATCTAAACCTTGGAGCCATTATTCTGCACAGGCAGCAGCGAGAGAAATTGCCGCCCCCTGTCTCAAAAACAGATGTCATCATTCTCGCTGTATCGTTCGGAAATATCTAAATTTGGACATTGTTTTGTTGAACTTTCTGGAACTTCCCAATTTTGAAAAAATCTCATTTCCCTGGACACTCATTCATCAATACCAGCCACTTGTAAAGTCAGGTTATGCAGAGAAGTGAAGTAGCGGTAAGGCGCACAGCAGCAGACCCTTCATCAATCTATCGTTGATTAATTGGTATAGGACATCTATGTCGATTTCGGGTAGTCTGGGACCAGTCGGACGCAGAACCCTGCACGCGTCATCGGCACCAGCCCTTAATCAAATTGACATGGAAATACTGCAGGATGTCCACTTTTAGTACAGTTTACGTGAAGCTCATATAAGAAATAGCACGGATTTATGGAACAATAACCAAGTAGTAAACACGGAAATGGACATGACCGTGCATCGAAATCAATGCAAAAGCCATTTTGTGACCAGATGTACTGTTCGCTCGCTGTGAAGCTTTAAATCAGTAAGAAGGGACTATTTCGAGGCTTATTTCGAAGAAATGAAAAATGAAACAAAGCTATGGACTTACCCCTTTCGGCAGTTGCAATTTTGCATTTTTTACAACTGGCCACTCTCTTCGCATAGTCGATGGCAAAACGAGTGGTAGAGGCGGACATCTTTGTCGCAACTAAACTGAAAACCAAGTAGGGCGCTTACAACCGTAAGGGGGCATTCAAAGAAAACTGGGCACGAAACTAATTACTGTCATCTGAATAGACTGTAGCGAAATTGGTTTAGAGCACTGTTTACTGCGGAAGGTGAGGCGTGTCCAGGAGAGGGGGAGGACTGGATTTGACATGGGCACCCCGTTTTCCACCAACCATTGTCTCTTGCCCACTTAGCAACTGCTGGAGTTTGGACCGGCCCGCGAACAACCCAGCCCGCCCCCCCTCCCCTAACACATTCAACCATAGCGAGCAGGACTGCCTCTACCCTAGTGCTCATTCTGTATTCAAGTGCATGTAAAGATTCGCATCCTCACACTAACTCTTGCTTTACCCCAAGAGCCCTTTGAATGCCCCTTCCCACCTTTTTAGTGCCTAATCAGTTCGAATCAAAACACACGTCACAGGGAGTTCGAAGCTTCCACAAATAATAGCGGTGTGATGCAGGAAGAAACAACCCATCAGTGATCGATCGGACGAAAATGATCGATCAATACCGTTCAAAAGTGGTGTTTTATGAAGAAAAACAAGAGCAAATATTCCGCAGAAAGCAAATATCTCATGATAAAGGTCATACGATGATATTATACTCCACAATATCTACGTGCGAACGGTGCAGTTAACATAGCTGTGCCAGCGCAGTTCGACTTGAAGGGGGGGGGGGGTAATTACGCAGTCCCACTATTTTTCCCACTGTGTCGAGCCATTGAGCAGAAATCAGTGACATCTTGTGGAGCCATGAAGTGGTACCAGTCAGAAAAAGACTACTGGGCAACTCTCGCAAAGGGATACCTGTCAGCACTAGGGAAGCAATGAACACGACAATGAGTGCAAATGCCCCCCCCCTCCAAGCACAACTGCATCACAATTATGCCTTCCAAAAGTGATGCGAAAATGTTTGCACATTCGCGTCACTTTGCAGAGCTGCACGTGCAGAGCGAACATCTGTTGAACCGCGGGCGGAGAAAAGCTATGCAAGGGAGAGTTTTAGGCACAGCATTATGAGGCCGAAAGTCATTCCGGGGCTAAGAACACTTTGGGGGGAGGGAAGGGGGAGAGGGAGTAGGCACACCTGTAAGCGCTTGATAGCGTACCACATCCTGTAAAAGACATGTTAACACCGGATAACCTTTTCAACACAGCCGTGAGACTTGTTATCTTGTGTCAGGCACCCTGTAAATTCTTGCCAAATCTTTGTGAAAACTTGTAAACTTGGAAATTAGCTTCAATAAAGCAGTGTATAGCATCACATAGCTGCAGGGCTCGACAAGTCTCATGTTTATTCCTTGACAGGAATTTGCACGACTTGAAGGACAAGACACGATTGTTCGGTGTTCGCAAGTTCACAATGAACACGACTTAACGATGCTTGTATGCAAAGCGCTTGAATGTCTGCCCATCCTCAAGTCAGGGGGGATTTTAGTCGAGTCCGTGCGACCACCCCCCCCCCCCCGCTCCTTTTTTAGGTGGTTGGTAGGACCCACCCCTGGTTTTTTCCTCAGTGAGCTGTCGAGTGGGAGGAGGGTACATAACACAAGTGAAATAGTAAAAGCCCGTGAGGGAGAAACACGACCCCCCCCCCCCCCTACATCGTCCGTGAAGTGCAGAAAAGTCAACTATCAGAATAACTTTTTTTCTGCCCAAATACGACCTCTCCTCATTGGGGACTGCCCAAGGTTATTAACGCCCTTTTCCGTTTCTAGGTTCAAGATACAGTCGATGACCAGCAATTAGCCAGAAAGAGGGGCATATCAACTAGGAGAAAGGTATTTTGTAAACTCTTGTCAATATGCCAGACAATTTTACAAAGTTTTGTACGCTCGTGGCCACCGTATCAATTTCTTTTCTACACGGAGCGATTCCGATATCTGTTTTACGCTTAGAGAGACCAACTGCCAGAGGACGCGAAGAAAGGACTGGGAACCAGAATGAGGATTCTATCCCGACCCTGGATAGGGACGCGGCTCAGGGGTTGATGAGCCAGTTCTTCGTAAGAAAAATGATTCCCGCACTGTACTTCAGCACTTCGTTTACACTTATATTGAGGTGGATACAAAATTAAAGACTCAAAAAGATTCAAAAAACCTGGTCTCTGGAATCACAGGGCTCCATAACATTCCGAAAAAAGACGATAATGTAATGTAGTGGAGCATTTTGCTATTTCCTGTCACTACACGAAATATTCTGTCGAGTCCTACAAGCTCCTCTCAAACCACTTTTCCCAAAGCCTCTTAGCCTAAATTTTGGCCTAACGCGGAGTTCCTACTTCCTATGATTAGGAAAAATCCTCATCCTTTGCCCACTTGTGCTTCCTCGCACCGTCCTCATATTTCCTAGCTTTTTTTTTGTTTATCAGTTGCCATGGTTTCACAACAAAAAGCGAATTCACAAGACAAGAACATCACACAATGGCGATTCTGACAGGAATAGCAAAGAGAAAAAAAAAAGCTCCAGCAGGCTATACTAACGCTATAAAACACACGGTCAAGACGAATGATTCCAATTTGTAGAATACAGGATAGTTAGGAGGATTCAGCATGGCTCAAATGAGCTTTAAATCAAAGCAAATCGAGCAATTGCGTTGCAGCAGCCGCTTGAGACGCGCACATGAAACGGCGACTTTTTGTACTGCGTGTTTTCGCGCGCTACGCTTTCGCCCACGACGCGTGCTAATGGGTGGCCCGCGCTGGTTTCCCTTTTCGCACCATTTGAAAGTGGAGACAAAGAGGGAGAATTCATTTCTTTCTGGCGCTTCTAGCATTCAATTTTGAGTCAGTAGCATTTTCTGGCTCCTTCCTGAAAATAGACAACCTTTGTAAAACTGTGCGCTATAGCAGTCTTAGGCCGCGTTCATAGCTTGCGACCATGAAGAAATGCGGAAAATGCAGAAGTGCGGAAAGTGCAGAAGTGCAGAATCTGCAGAAAAGCAATAGATACGTATCGACTTGAAGAAATGCAGAAATGCCGAAACTGCAGACGTGCGGAAAGTGCAGAAATGACGAAAAGCATTACATACGTATCGATTTGAAGAAATGCAGAAATGCCGAAAGTGAAGAAGTGCGGAATCTGCAGAAATGCCGACAGTGCGGAATGTGCAGAAATGCCGACAGTGCGGAATGTGCAGAAAAGCAACCGATACGTATCGATTTTCCACACTTTCGGCATTTTTGCAGATTTGGCATTTCTTCACTTTCAGTTTCGGCATTTCTGCATTTCTTCAAGTCGATACGTATCTATTGCTTTTCTGCAGATTCCGCACTTCTGCACTTTCCGCACTTCTGCATTTTCCGCATTTCTGCATTTCTTCATGGTCGCAAGCTATGAACGCGGCCTTAGGCCTTATACTGTTTCAGTGGTCGCTCTCCCCTAAAATGTGACATCAGTTTTACTATTCTGATAGTCAGTCAGAGTTCTCCTGCCGCACAGCAGTCCCCCACCACTTCTTTTGTCCTTCTATCCTCCGCTGCGAATACCTTCCGACTAAAAGAATTCGTTTCTGCGCTTTCTTTTTTTATCGTGCCCCCCTCTCAGGACTCGAGCCACCCAGATTTTTACGAAAAAGAAATTATACGGATTCTTGTTCGATGACCATATGGCTCTCGAAAATTGCACCAATGGGTAACTAAAAACTTAGAGTCTCATGAAAACATTACAACACAAAGGCGTTTATCTTGAAGTAGTGCGATCAAAGAACAAGAATTGAAAAATGCAAGCCTTCAGGACCATTATTTGGGGGGGACACCTGTGACGGCCGCTACAATGTTTACTATTTACTCCTCTGCCCTCTGTGCGCGAACGCTGGTTGTCAGCGCTCTTTCAAGCAGGGCTCACCATATGTTACGCACCACCGCACACGGAAGAGGTCGAAATTTGCCGCTGCGAAGGGAGTCGAATCTCCCCTAAAATCGTAAACTGCCTTTTGATTGTTACGCGTTGGGCCTTCGTTTTTGATGACGGGTTGCGCCGACAAAACTACTATTTCAGACAGCATTGACCGGCGCGTCTACTTCTCCACAAGTGGATAATCCCTGTAGAGGAGAGTCTCGTGGCATTTCCTCGCCGCGTTTCGCCTAGCATTTGAAGAGAGGTGCTTAAGGAATGGGCAAGATGGGAAAGGAAGAAATAAGAAGGGAGGTCGGCGAAAAGGGAGTCTCTGCGATCGATAAATATCCCAGAACGTGAATTTTGTGAAATGTTGGGCGGATGCCAGGGAAAGGAAGTGTGGGGGGTCGTACAGGAATATTTGGGAGGTAGAGTCGTGGTTCGCAAAAATTTCCCACATGATGGGTGACCTGCTTGCAGGGACGAGCCTTGAGAGTTGAAGGAAAAGAGCACTTCATCCCCCCCCCCTCCTCTCGAACGACCAACTCTTGAATATCGCTCGATTCGACACGACCTGAACAGCTCAATACGTCCTGATATTGTGCCAACTACACTAATACCATGATGAGCCAGTAAATTTCATCCATTTACAACCATTTATTCAAACAATATTGTCTTGCTAAGGCTGTTACTTCTACTCGTAGTTCATTTCGGCACCTGCATCGGTAATTATCTATACGTGTAACTTCATAATACCTACACAAAACTTAAAACGTTAAAGATGATACATAGTATCATCTCATTTACAGGTATACATTTCGCATTTTCACATCACAACAGTTCACTAATTCACTAAGAATTCTAGGAAAGGAACCCTATACGGTAATTATGTAAATACTTATTCACAGTACGACAGAATTAATAAAGAGAAATATCTTACTAATAATAAGGACATCACCTTGGCGTCCATTACAGCCAAAGCGGTCAATAGGTGAACCATTCAGGTTAAAAAAACTACAAGTTACTCAGATCGACATTAAGTTATACATTCAAAAATGTTCTAAGCATCATTTCAGAAGCTAAGCCAGGAGTGATCTTCCCTTCACGAACATCCTTTTCAAGAGCCGGTGCCATTGGGGCAATTTTTGGATGTTCTGTGAAAACTTTCATCAGTTCATCCTGTACATGATTCCACATCCATCTCGACATCTGAGCTGAGCGTCGCTTTTCCAGATCACCAGATTTCTTTATTGTGTCCCAGTATTGGTACATAGTGTCCGCAACTGCTGCTATTGATTTGGGATCCATTATGGACGTTCGAAGAACCTGAATGGGCTTGATATATGTCCTGACGGGAAAGATAAGAGTGCAAAGGATAAAGTCTTCGCCGTTTACAATACCTTTGTGGGATGCGGCATACATTAGTTCCATTCAGCATCGAATGTGGCTTCAGTGAATACCAGCCGATGTACAATCCAATGTTTTAATATTTCTCACACCAATTTATCGTCCCGGAGGGTAGAAGATTTGGTTAGCTTGGGCGGGAAGCCGATCCAGAATTGAACTCCCGGACCAGGCGTGAGGTAGGCAGGCCACTCGCTATTACGGAACCGCCGCCTCTCCGATAGGAAGGCTAGGGTTTCCAATGGTGAGACGAATAGCGCACCCGTCTGGTAAGCGTGACGCACAGGTTCCAGTCCCGTCTGAGGTCAAGCTTTGCCCATAACTCAGAAAACCCATTCTGGGAAGTACTAGAACGTAACCCACTACTTTCGGAGGGCAGCAAACGGAGGACGATGATGGCGATACATGGGACTGAATGTGGGGATCTACGTTGTGGCGACGTGGGGAAAGCAATGTAGCAATCGATACCGCGTGCGCGACATTCGCACCAGGAAATAATTGATTTTACATGAAAGTGCTATAGTACGTCGACTAAAATACCTAGTTAATCGGTAGGTTCTGTGTATGGGCACAATGTGGATCTCCCACACTACACCCGATACGTGCTCCGTTACCGTGTAAGTAGCCATAACGAGAAGCGATAAGACGAAACAAAGCTGACAAGAAAGGGCTCGCACCAGTTTAAAGGACCCCAAGGGGAGCGGGGCGTTTTCCTTAGCCTCCTGTGACTATTTGGAATATCGAGATATTCTTCAGGACCAAAAGGTCGTATGTGCAACTGAGCAGCTCTAACTCACCTTAGGCTTCCAGATTGGAATCCGTGGTCGCATATATTTCAATGCTGATATGTATTCTGCTTGTGTTAGCTTGGCTTTGGCTCGTAGATCACCATCGTCTTTTGTAACAATCAAGAGATCACTCAGCTCCATAATTCCACGTTTCACTCCCTGAAGAAGCGAATCCTTTTGCAGTAAAATCGCACTGGATGAACGGAAGTTGTTGGAAGTAAATTTCCCCATTTAACAGCCTATTTGAGGATTCCTGCCTATCTCAAGCTTAACGCATTGCGTACTGCCGTTCTGCAAGATTCTCTGCATTATTCTCTCTCTTTTTTCTTACATCGATAATCAGTAATCAAATTGTGTTTTCTCTTTCGTTTGAGATGTGTGTTCCGTGCGAAAAACATGTTCTGATAACTGTAGAACATGAAATAGGTGCAAACAAGTGCGGAGAGAAAAGCGTACAACACACCATGTATGTCATGCGGTTCGGATCGAGCTAAGGTTCCCTCGCGCCTCAGGAAGGTTTGAATTAGCGCTATTCCAGCGGGATGGATGACTTTGGTGCAAAACCTCCGAAGCATCCGAAATTCTTTTACCGCAAACGTTTTGGGAAATGAGCCATCTCGTTTCGAACAAATGTTTTCACACGAAGGACTGGTTTACCCAGTCTAGAGCTCCCCCCCCTAGAATCGGTACAACTCGTCATCCCCTAGCTTGAGACCGTTTCTTGGCACCTTCCAGCTTTAAATGCTCTCCAAAAATTAGAAAAGAAAATCACACCTTTACGTGGCTCAGATGTACTCATTCACCAAAGTTGGATTACTGTAATTTACACGAA